TTATAACCTAAAATCTTTTTTGCAGATACCAATTTTCATCAATCCAATGTACAGTAACAGTCAAATAATCGTTACCGTTTACACTACGGCCCATATCAGAAATAATAGCTATTTTACAAGTATTATAATAAAATAAAGAACGGAGATATTGAAAATGTTGTTCATGATAATCAAATACAACATTTTTTATTGTATTTATAGCAAAACCTTTAAAATTTGGATTATATACAATTTGAATATAATGTAAAAAACCGGGATTATCAGCAAAACTAAATGGCAAACCCATAACACATATCATTTTAGCTAGTTCTTCAAGATCTTTTTATCTACTATATGAAAGTGGTAAACTAGAGTCAGAAACATTAGAGTGATTTAATTGTGTTTGTACCATGTTAGATCCGCCTTCTCCTACATTTTCAGGAAGGGGGTACCCTTTTTTTAGCTTCCGCTACCGCTTTAGCATGCAAAAATTCATTTTTACGACAAGACATTAAATGACTACTCAAATGTCCCGTCCCACCAGATTTACCAATTGTTTTACGATTTAATCTATGTTTACATTTATTACAAATAGCTTGTATTTTATCTTCGTTTTGTGTCATAAATTGCCAAACAATCGATTTTTAGTGCGTTCTACCTTAGGCCTAGGATGTACGGGGGACCAGGGGCAGGACAACGAAAGGGAGAGGGACTGGGAGTATTAGTAGCCGTAGGTAGCTCAGAATCATCATCATCATCATCATCAAAAGTAGGCGTATCAGTATAATTATCAATATCATTATCATTATCATTATCACTAGGCAAATCCTCATCAAAATTACCAAAGCGATGTTGTAAATGTTCATGATAAGGATCTAATCTTGAATTACTGTCAATATTAAAAATCGTATCATCAACATGTGTATAATCATCCGTATTTATTCTTAATATAGTAGATTCTTTAGTTTTTGATTTAGAAGAACTACGGATTTTTGCATTATCGGAGAATGTAAAGTTACACATATTTTTTACACGCTCTAATGCACTTTTTTCCCCTTTCGTTTTTGAACAATATTTTTACCGAAATCCATATTAAAATATTATACGTGAGATTATATATAATACGAAAAATATAATGCAAATAATAAATCACAAAATAAATAAATAAATATTTAAATATAAATAAAATGTAAAATAAAAGTTATAACGAATGTTCCGGACGTCTACTTAAAAAAGTAGACATTTATGACCACCGAAAGCCGAACGTGGAAAGTTGAAAGTTGAATTTTGAAGCTCCAAATCCAATTTCCAAAGACCAAATAAGGAAACCCCGAAATTTAAGATATTATATATTAGAATATAATTTAGGGGTATTTATAAGTGAAAAAAAGGTTAAAGTGTAATTTTTAAAATATTAGGGTATTGAAAAAGTTGGGGTGGGGTAGAAGTATAATTGGCTGATATTTGGGTCAAATAGCCGTTGGGGGGCCCACTAGCCGTTACCCAACGGCTATAAACTGATATATTTAAAAAAAATAAAAATTGAAAAATTGACCGGACCGGACCGGCAACGGATCAGTAATTTCCGGAACCAGGAGGGACCGGTAAATCCCGATTTCTGTCTCGTTACTTGTCCCGGAACCGAAAAGAACCGGTCTATATCAAAACTAACCGATACCGGGATGGACCAAACCGATAACCGGGAATTATCATTTCCGCTGCCACCCATAGCTGCAGCACAGCGATCCATAAGCAATTCTGTAGCACACGTGAAATAAAATAATTAAAAGAAGGGAAAAAAACTCACATACTTCAAGCTTGGGGGGGTGAGCGGGGGGTGGGGGGGACCTCAAGGCTCTACGCAATACTCACATAATTTTAATGCATATTTTTTGCATTTTCATGTCATTTCTTAGGAATTATACAAGTTACTCAGTTTTCGTGTGCTAATCAATGGATCCAGCCTCGGATCACCCAAATATTTTTTTCTGAAAAAAAACCTTTATGAGGATTTTTAAAAAAGTTGGTGTGAGTATTGCAATTAGTATTAAGATAAGAGACAACTTTAAAATTTTGAACAAAATTTGAAAATACTTGATTTCAAAATGCAAATCAAATATTCAAAAGGTTAGAATTTTGGTTTTGTCTACACAATATCAACTCTTAATTTAAATGTGTATTTTAAACCTATCTTAAAAATAAAATATTTTCTTTGCCATTTTTTCGTCTACGCAGCATGTGACCCTAATTTCATAAATACAATACTTTTATAGTTTCAATGTTATTGATTTTAATCTGACACAAAATTTAAGAAAATAATTTTGATCTTACGGTCTTAAAGTTGAAATACGTAGGATATATCAAAATGCCTTTTAATTTTTTTAGTCACAAAATATTTCACGTGAAAAAATTGAAATTAAAGATTTGTGAAAAAAAATATCTTAAAATAAACAAAAAAAATACAAATAAATTGAAACATATGTCTACTACTTAACAAATTACTACTAGCAATTTATTGAATCAACATTGGTTGAAGGGTAAAACATATCCACACTGAGTGTATACATCAAGTCAATACATGCATGATATGTATTTAAATTTATAGTTCACTTTACTTCAAAAAATCGTGTAATAATAAAAATTACATTGACTTGATATATACACCCAATATAAATAAGTTTCTTCCTTGTTTGAATTATTATTTTTTCAAAGTAGAGAAAACCTACATATATTTATTTCTATTTTATTGGCAAAACAATGTTCAGATATAGCTTTTTAGCATCTTAATTGGATAAATATTTTGAATTATTATTTTTTGAACATCTTAAAGAACAAGGACCAACAATAATGACAAAACTTTCTCGAGCATTTGTTGAAGTGTCAATTCAAATCATATAACAAAATGTCGTGTTATATATACAACATTATTTTGTCTCAATTGATATGGTATCGTTAATTTAACATAAATAATTATTTAAAAAAATACTTTTGAAATCTATGGTATAAAACAAATCTTAGATATTTATCTGACTATGAATTATTTCACTAAGGTTAAAAGTTGTTGGTGTAATATACCACAAATATAAAATATTACAGTTGAAATAAGATGAACAAAAATGAATATATTAATCTTTAGGCTGAGGCACGGATATCTCGCTCTCTTTAAGGAGATTCAAGACCACTGCGGCATAATCTACATCGATCCAGCAGTATAACTCTTGACTTGTCCCCTCCAAGATACGACAACCCAACAACAGTGTATAACTCAAACAACTCCGAGTTAGTTGAAGAGTCCAAAGCTCCACAAAAGAACACCTTCCTTCAACATATAATACTCTCTTTTGTATAGTGAATATAGTTGAAGACATAGAATATTTTCGATGTTTCAACTCTCTCTTTCACTACACTAACCTCATATAATACTACTCATCTTTTTCACTCTATATTTTCTTGTACTTATCTTGTTTCTTCTCCTCTCTTCAACACAAATGAGGACTACACTATTTATAGGTGATGAATTCTTCCTTGCGATGAATAGGAGATAGTGGGTGGTAAATTTGTCATATGAATGGCTCAAATTCTACATAAGTTACAAAACATAAATATAGAATACTGGATGAAATGAAGAATTGGTGGTTACATAAGTTACTAAAAATTAATAACCATTTTCTTCCACAATTGATGAGAGTAAAGAGACACAAATGTAATGTCCATCAACGGACATAACATGATATATAATGTAACATATGATATATAATTTTATTAATATTAAAATGTCACACCAACAAAAGTTAAATTATTTTTTATTACCCATTTATAATATTTGCGAGCTATTATATAGAAGCGGAGTATTACCTTGTGTCCACCCAAAATAATTTTAGTATGCAGACGGAAATTAACTCCAAGAATAACAATACGTACAATTTCATTTTTGAAATTATACTAAAATAAATAAAATCTAAAAAAAAGAGTATAAATCAACTATTTATAAAAAGTTTGTAGAGTGTTAACCAAAATTACATTAATAACTTTAGTTTCAGTTTATATAATTTACGTAAATTGATTGAACAAGAGTATTAAGAAATATTAGAAAGAAATTATAATTTTTCAAAAACTATCTTTAAGAAATAAATTTTTAAATAAAAGAATAACATTTATGCACTTTTTTTTTCTCAAATAAGTGAGACCTAAGATGAGCAAAAATGATAAATTTTATTAAATATTTGTCAATTAAGGAAGAAAAAAATCAGTCTCTCTAGAATTCAAATTAGCCCCCTGTTCCGTTGTCCGCTCCTAACGGTCAATTCAAATCGCATATGTATTATAGTAACTTTCTTCTTCGTTTTCTTGGAGACGACAACTAAGAGAAGGCGAAGAGAAAAGCAATGGCTTTCTCTGTTTTTGGTCACAGATTGGAAAACTGAATACAATTGTCTCTGCTCGATTTCTCATCCTCCAAACTTGTGAGTCTTTCTCTGATTTTGATCTCTCTTTATTATGGAAAATAATTGGAGTACTGGTTTTTATCTTTGATTATTCACTTCTTTGTTTGTTGGTTATGGGGTTTCTTGCGTAAAATTTGTTTATGGAAGGAAAATGCAGGTGGGTTTTGTGATTTCTTTTGGGGGGGGGTTTCTTTCTTGGATTAAATAAGTAGAATGGTTAATGTTTCATGTAAAATTGATTGAGAAAATGGCTAATTCTGTTTTTACGTGACCTTGAATTGTGTATTCCACTTCAAAATTTGGATATGGCTTTCTGTTTAGCTACTATTTGGACTTTGTAGTTCATGTATCATCTTATGAACGTTGGCAAGAAATCATGAGTGTGGTTTTTGGTAACAGAAATCTCCTTGAATTGTTTGGACTTTATACTTCATATTATCTTAGGATCCGCAGAAAAAAGTGAACTAGAAAACTAGTAGATGATTGTGGGCTGTTGTAAAGAACAAAGTTAAGACGACTGGTTGAATTGAGCCGATTGAAAGAAGCCTAGTTTCCATATCTCAGTGGTGATCTGTAATGGGCCTACCGGAATTAATCGAGAAAGTTCTTGACATCTGCTTCTGGAACATCTACTTGGCTCTAGAATGTCTCAGTGTATAGTAGAAGTATGGAGGAAGTGCTAAACACTCATCTAATGAAGCTAATTAAGGTACCAATTCAGGGGAGACCCCTGCATTTGCTAACACTCGAATAGACTGGAAGGAAACTCCAGAAGCTCACTTGTTCAAGGCTGATCTTCCAGGGCTTAAGAAGGAGGAAGTGAAAGTGGAGATCAAAGAGGATAGGGTTCTTCAAATTAGCAGAGAGAGGAAGGTAGAGAAAGAAGATAAGAACGATACTTGGCATTGTGTGGAGCAAAGCAATGGAAATTCATGAGAAGGTTTAGACTTCCGGAGAATGCAAAGATGGATCAAGTTAAGGCTTTTATGGAGAATAGAGTGCTTAGTGTAACTGTTCCAAAGGAAGAGGTAAAGAAACCTATGGTCAAGTCCATTGAGATCTCTGGTTAAGTGCTTTGGCTGGGAATAAACTTGTAGTATTAAGTAAAGCCTGTACAGTTGAAGATTTTCAGTTTTTTTTTATTTCTGGCTGTGTCTTATGCTGGGTCATTTTCCTAGTTGGTTATGAACTGTTAACTGTTTTATGTATTTCCCTTGAGTACTCTATATGATATGCCATTGAATTTCCTGTAATATTTTGATTTTAAAAAATGATCAAATTTATCTGTGTAACTAAGTTTGTCTAGAATCAGTGTTTTGATCAATATTTTGATTTCAAGTGTATTCTTTAATTGATTTTTCTCCAGTTAATATTTGTCTCTTTTCTGAGAGCATGAATGTATATTTTGATGTAGATTGTGTTTATTTCTTCCTTCTTATTTTATGAATTTTGAAGTGAATCGTGAAGTAACTTCATAAATGATATATTGTAAACCTTTCCATTTCGTAACTTCATAAATGATATATTATAAATGTTTCCATTTAGTCAAGTGAGTTTGTGTTATTTCTTCCTTCTCTTAGATACTGTCAAGGTAGAAGTTGCCAGGGCCTGCAGCCTTGTCCCAAATGAAGCTTGAGGTTGAGAGTTTGAGTAGAGATTGCAGGGACAGCCATGTAAAGAAATCCCAAGAAAGGCCTTCTATAGTCCACAGTTTTCCAGTTTGCCAGATTTTTCATTTGATAGTGTGCAGAAGTTCCATAAAGAGAATGAGCAGTTAACTGAACGCCTTTTGGCAATGGAAGAGAAAACAAAGCTTTTGAAAGAAGCTTTGGCAAACCAGAACAGTGAATTTCAGATATCTCGAATCATACCGTAACTCGGTTTCTCATTCCCCTAAACTCGTAAGTGTTTCTTAGATTTTGTTCTTTATTTGTATAAATGGCTTGATAATGCGTACTTTTTGTTGAGTAAGGTAATTAGAGTACTGGGCTTTTCTTTTTCTTTGCGTTTCTTTTTATTACTGGTTCAAAGATTTGTTCTTTTGTATGTTGGTTATGGGGTTTCTTGCGTAAATTTGTGTATGGAAGGATGAAAATGTAGGTGGGTTTTGTGATTTTTTTTGGGGGGTTGTTTCTGTCTTGAAATTTCATGAGAAATGATTGAAGATAATGGGTAAAAATCAGTTTAGAAAATCAAGTGAATCAAGTGAAGTGATTTGAGGGTTTGAGTTTGAGTGAAGTCTTCTTTTAATGGTTAAAAAGTATTATGATACCATTTGCTCCAGCCTTCATTTGGCACAAAAAATGTAGAGATCTAAACATATACAATCACCTAGCTAGCATAGTAGTACAACATTATCCTATAATCATTTGTTTCTTTCGCCTCATGAGACAACCTACTGCTCCCATCATTAGCATGGGCAGCCTCAGGCACTCCAAGTAGTGCATACTGTGGCACGAACCACATAGCAGACATGTAAACTAAGGCACTTGGGTCGTCCTCATGCCCTTCCTCTATTGCCCTTTGCTGTCTTATGGTATCTGTTATTGCTGACAACTCCATAGACATACAGCTACTACTTGTGCAGCTCATAGGAAAGTTAGGACTGTTCAGTATGGTATGTCCTGGATGTACTAGAAAATACCTCCAAGTGGTGAAATGGTCTTTATGAATTTTTTAGATGAGTACATGTTTTCAAGTTACTTAAAAATATTCTTTTGTCATTTTTATAATTTTTAAATAATATATATGTTTTATATAATTAGTACATTTTATGAATATTCGAAAATTGTCTCAGAAAAATTTTATTTTATTTAAATATTTATCTAATTAGTTTAGTTAATTAAATAGTTTATATTTTAAGTTAACTAGTTTATAATTAAGTTAATTATTTTAATTTTTAAAAGATTTAGAATCTCATTAATTAATTTATATTAATGTGTTATTCATTATTTAGCCGAATTGATCGTCTTAATTAAAATTCTAAATTTGGTTGGCCCATATCAGTTCCAAGCCGATCAACAATAAAAACAAATGCAGCCTAGCGCGTGTATGAAATCACTTCAATTTGGGGGAATCCGTTGTGATTCTTATCTCGTTGTGATTTTGGCTTTCGTTCAAATTTCTATCCGTTGGGAATTTCAATTCCTAAGTATGAAATCGCTTCGATTTGGGGGAATTTCTATCCGTTACAAATATTGACTTCCGTTCAAATCACACCCAGTTTCTATCCGTTACAAATTTGATTTTCCCCTCTTTCTTCTTCATTGTTTGAGATGGGAAAACACAGAGAATCAGCATACAAAAAGAGTAAGTGTTCTTTCTCGTTTGTTTGTTGTCCACCGGAATTTCACTTCAGCTCGTTCGTTCCGGATGCAATACTCTCCCTTCATCTCTCATTCTTTATTTTCCAATCATGTTTGTATTTTCTGCTCGTTTATCTGTATTTTCTGCAAAATATAGAGTTGTTACTTGTTAGTTGGATTGTAAATAGAATTCTTTCGGGTTTTTTGATAGTTCGGAGATTGATTGAGTCAATCCATATCTTCAAGATGAATTAATATGCTTTGCTTCAATTGTTTTTTACATTTTTTTAGCCTGCAAATATCGTTTGATTTCTCCACTGCAATTATCATCAAAGGGGTGTAAATATAAGCATAAATCTGCCTTACATCGTTTTATTTATTTGCTTCTTGGAACCTGGAAGATGATGGGATTCTTTGGTTTATAATGCTAATCATTCATAATACTCATCGATAGTATATTAAGTAGCCAATTTGTTTATACTACTAGGATTTATTCTTTTGATGAACTTGTTTGGATCAGTAGCTTGTGTGCTCAATACTTCGTTCCTGACTTATACACTAAACATTCAGAGTTTGGATTCGGGGTCTTCCTTCTCATTTTTTTGTTTTCCACCGGAGTCTGTCGGAGTTTCACTTCAGCTTACCGTTGGTAGCTCGTTCATTCCAATCAGAATAACTTTCGTCCTATGTAACACTCTCATCTCTCATTCTTTCTTTTACGATCATGTTTGTTGCTTTGTATCTTGAAATGTGTTTGGGCCTTATTACAGTTGGAATTTTCCATGTATTGTATTTTCTGCTTGTTTTCATGGGTTTCAAGATGGTGTCAAATTTGGATTTTCTCGTGATATGTTGTTGCTATCTGTTTAGTGTTGATGATTCTTTGCTTCTATGTTTATGCTTATTTGATCTCTTTTTTTCTCTAGTCTTTTACTCGCAAATAAATTAGTATAAATGTAGAATTTTTCTTCTCGACTTGAGTCCATTTCTAACGCTAGTCTTCTTTCAAGTTCCTTGTTTATGATGGTTCTTCCTCAGGTTTTGCACTCATGGCTTTGGCTAATGTCCAAAGTGGCAATTAATGCCATGTCCTTTCTTTCTAGTTGTTGTTGTTGTTCCATTAGCATGATCCAAGTTTCTTGTAAGATGCATTTGTTTATTAATATTCTTAAATTAATCGTGAGTTTGGTTAACTATGTGGTAGCTAGTATTCATTTCGATGCAAAATATGGAGTTGTTACTTGTGAGGTGGATTGTAAATGTTCTTTCGGGTTTTGATGTAGTTTGTGAGATTGATTGAGTCAATGCATATCTTCATGATGAATTAATATGCTTTTCTTTTCGATTGTTTTTAACTTTTTTTAGTTGTGAATGTATATGAACTTTCGTCAAAAGGGTGCAAATGTAAGCATAAATCTTAGCTATTTCTTTTTTGTTTCGAGTCACTGCCTCAATACAATAGATGTGTCTAATATCTGTTCTCGAGGGGCAAGTTCCAACTCATGATTTAGTGTTTCTATTGGGTTGAATCAAATGATTGTGTTATTGTTGGTTGCAAATAGAGTGTCAGGATACTAGTCAGTGGCTAAGTCTTTATGATTTGTTGAATATTAAAGCCAGTCTATTTTTCTTTCTTAATCTCAATCTAATTTGTATTAGCCTAAGTTATAGTTTATATTTCTTTTCTTGTGATTAGTTTCCATGTATTGTTCTTTTCTTGTGATTAGTTTCCATGTATTGTTCTTTTCTTGTGATTAGTTTCCATGGGAATTAATTTTCTTCAAGTATAAAATTAGGAAATATCTTTGTCTAGAAAAATGGGTATATTTGTTTGATTTTCGGTATAATATTCATGGTAGTATATCTCAACATTCTCGTGTAATTAATGTGTAAGCAACAAACACTTGGTTTTAAAGATCCTTTCGATTACTCTAATCTTTATATTTTATTTTCCTTGCATGTGATACCAATTCAAGTCCACTTCTGGACTAATTCCTTGCATTTCATCAAGTTGAATTCCTTTGAGTGGAAGGGAGGGAAGCTGAAATACAGGGCAAACGAAAGCAAAAAATGCAGGGAAGGGGCTGCTATACAAGCCTGTATACACTAAATACAGTTTTCTGTATACACTGAAATTTGGCTCAAGTCAGCAGCAATTTAGACCCAAAGAGGACCAAATCAACAACAGTTTGGGCACAAAAGGCCCAAACTACTTCTCTCTCTCTCTATTGCTCTCTATCCACTAATTCTAACTATATATAACTTTACTTTAACTTCACTAAATCTCTTAAAAATCAAAAAGTTTTGGTTAGTTTTAACCTACTCATAAGTTAGCAAAACCCATTCCAACCCACATGTAATTTTTCAAATTGATTATTGAATTTTTACTTCAAAAGAATTTTTTCACTATTGAAAACAAAATTCATTTAGG